TGTGCCATGCCCTGCTCACAACCAAGTTCCTGCTCCAGTCACAGGATACTTGCTCTAGTCTGGTTCCTAACTTCTGGCTCTGATTGACTCTTGGCCATGTCTCTGACTGACTCCAATTTTCCCTTTGGGGGCTGGCCTTCAGCTTAGTCACTTGACTCTGACACCAGCTTCACCTTTGGACTGGTGCCTGATTCCATGCTTGTCATTACCTGAATTGCCACCACAACCACCAGGTGAGGTCTGCTCCCCCTACTAGGTAGGCTACTCATGACCCTGCAGTTCACAGGTTTGCCTCTCCATAGACAGCTTTTAATAGAGATTATATCTTCATAGGCCTGCTTCTAGTGGTGGTGCTCTTCTCTAGGAAAGTCAAGATCAAACGTATCGGTTGTAAAATTAACAGCTAGTCCTGTTCCAATGAATCCTAGATAACTAAGCCAGTTCATAGATGGGCAAAGGACTTTTTGTTTAAGGGGTAGGTGTTGCCTGTTTAGTTCATAATGGATAACAAACAGTTTATAAATAGGTAACAGTGTGGTCTTATCTGAGCCTTCTGAAACTGATGACCGTATTTAACTAAGTTATTCTAAAGAAGCCATTGAAGGAGCTGTCTTGAGATAAGATTCATTAATTTGCCTAAGAATATTACATTCAAGTGTCATTTGCTATTTTTCTCCATTTAACTTTTGCCCTTTCCCAGAGTAAATAGTTTAAACCATTTCAATATCCTGTTAAAATCATCACCTGGGTAAATCTAATTCCTTGGCAGTGCTTTGATGTTGAAGTGTTGGTGATGTTATTATATGGCAGAATCAGTGATTGTTCCTTCTTGCTGCTGTATTGTTCTTTGTCTTGCTGCTGTTTCATTGCCTGAAAGAAATGAGACTAGGGAGACAGAAGTGCTGTCAAAGTTGAGAGTTGGAAGCTGAGAGTGCTGCCTGCCTGAAAGAGAGACTGCTGGGACTCCCCACTTCACCCCCTGGCAGGTCCCTCTGGCTCTTAGGGTGGGGGGGCTCTGAGTGCTGCAGGCGCCTGCAAGCCCCGCTTCACGGCTCCGGCAGCTCCCATTGGCGCTTTTCCCGGCCAATGGGAACCACAGAGCTCACGCTTGTGGCGGGCGCAGCACGTGAAGAGTCTGGAGACTCCTCTGACCCTAGGAGCCAGAGACCTCCCACAGGGCTGGTGAGTGTGGCCAGGGAAGGGGGCAGGGTGTGATGAAGTAAGTGTCTGGGAGGTGTGTGTGGGGTGCTGGGCTGTGAGGGTGTGGAGGGCGCTGGGCAGTGGGGGAGGTTTGTGTGTTTTGGGATGCTAAACAGTGGGGGGCCTGTTGAGGGGGCTGCTGGGCAGTGGGGGAGATCTGTGTGTGTGTGTGTCAGGGCACTGGGCAGTGGGGGTCTGTGTGGGGCATTGTGTAGTTGTGGTGATGGGGCTGTGGGGAAGGGCACTGGGAGAGAGGAAGGAGGGGAAATCTGTGTGTATTGGGAAACTAGCCAGTGGGGGGTTCTGTGTGGGGTGCTGGGTAGCTGTGGTGGGGCTGTAGGCAGGGGGCGCTGGGCGGGAGTCTGTGTGTACAGCACTGTGCATTTGTGGTGGAAGGGTTGTAGGGGGTCTCTGGGCATAGTGGATCCAGGGGGCGCTGGGCAGGGGAGCTGTGTGGCGCAGCATGGGCCCACCCCAACAGGAAGGGGCATGCTGGTAGCACAGGGCCAGGTGGACCAGTGTGCCTCTGGCTCCGGTTGGGGCTGTGCACCTGTGTCCGTCTCATCTCTCTTCCCCTCCCCCCCCACCCAAAGTGCCCTGATATTTCACTCTTGCGACCTGGTCACCCTACTTTGCATTGGGAACAAAGAAGGAGGCTGTAGCTAGTTAAGTGGGGAGATTGTCGCTCTGCGCAGAGAGCGGCAGAAGAGGGGGTTTGTTGGGGGAAGTTTTCTGGTGCTGTAGATGACCAGGAGAACCCAAGACTCATCACTGGACTGGAACTTTGCCCAGGACTCCTGAACTCTTCTTGGAGTCTGCCCCTTCCAACTGTGGTACCACTGGGCAG